CCCACCCTACCCTCACTGAAGTTAAACTGACTGGTCTGTAACTGCTGGAATTATCCCTGTAACCTTCCTTGACTGAGGTGGTAATGTTTGTGATTCTTCGGTTTTCTGGCATCTCCCCAAAGTCTGAGAAAGAGTGAAAGATTGTGGCCAGTGTCCCTGCAATTCATACCCTCACTTCCATCAAAAATCCTTGAATGCTTCTCACCCAGTCCCAGTACTAATATTCCATCCAACACTTTTTCCTTATTAATTTTGAATCCTTCTTGTGACAGAATTTTCTCCTCTATCAGCATGACCTGAATGGCATCTTCCTTTTTTGTAAAGACAGATAAAATGTTCATTTAATACCTCAGCAACACCCCCTGCCTTCATCTATAAATTCCATTTTTTGTCCCTGATGGGACTAACTCCTTCCTTAATCACTCTCTTGCAGTTTTTAGGCCTATAGAAGACTTTGGGATTTCTCTTCATGTTTGATGCTAGTCTTTTTTCATAATTTCTCTTTGCTTCTCTTAGTTGTTTTCTTCCCATTTCCCCTTAAACCTATAGTATTCCTATTAATTATCTGGTGTATTTTCTGCCTTATGCATCTCATAAGCACAGCATTTCTTTCTAATGTTATTTTCTACCTCTTTTGACATCCAGGGAATTCAGGATTTGTTTTTCCTACTTTTCCATTTGTGGGAATATACTTTAAACAGTACCCAAGCCATCTGGCATTTGAAGGTAGCCCATTGCTCAGTTAATATTTTCCCACCAACCTCTCATTCCAATCAATCGTGCCCGGGTCTGTTCTTGTCCCATTGAAGTCAGCTCTACACCAACTGATTTTTCTCACTCTGGATTGACGCTTGTCATACTCCACCATCATCCTGAACATTACAATACAATGATCACTGTCTCCAAAAGTGATTGCCCACCTCTTTTCCAAGGACCAGGTCTAGCAATGCATCCTTTCATGTTGAACTGGACAATATGTCTACAGGGAACTCTCCCTAACATAGTCCAGGAACAATTGTCTTTGATGCCGCTTACACTACCAGTATCCCAGTCTACATTTGGGTAATTAAAGTCCCCATTATAACTGCTGTAAAAATTTTTCTGTAATTTCCCTGCAGATTTGTTCCTCTGCATTCCTTTTCACTGGTTAGTGATCTATACACTACAGCAAGCAATTAATTGCAACCTTTTTATTCTGTAGCGTTAATCAAATTGACTCCATCCTTGAACCCTCTGAAATATCCTCCTTCTCCAGCACTGCAATGTTCTTCTTAACCAAACTCCTCCTCCTTTCCTTCATTTTCTATCTTTCCCAAACAACTTGAACCAGGAATATTTATCATTCAAACTTGGCCTCATTGAGACAGGTCTCTGTCACTGCTACAACATCATAATTACACATTGCAATGTGCTTCTGTAATTTCCCAAACCTATTTAGTATACTCCATAGATTTATAGAGTCATAGGGTCATACAGCACCGAAACAGACCCTTCAGTCCAACTCGTCCGTGCTGACCAAATATCCCAAATTAATCTAGTCCCATTTACCAGCATTTGGCTCATACCCCTCTAAATCCTTCCCTAGTCATGAATCCATCCAGATGCCTTTTAAATGTTGCAATTGTACCAGCCTCCACCACTTCCTCTGGCAGCTCATTCTGTACACACACCACTGTCTGTGTGAAAAAGTTGCCCCTTAGGTCCCTTTTAAATCTTTCCCCTCTCACCTTAAACCTATGCCCTCTAGGTTTTGACTCCCCGACCCTGGGGAAAAGACCTTGTCTATTACCTATCAATTTACTGATCTCCATGCTAGTGCTAGCTGTGCCACTAAGTATTTTGCAAGCCCTGTCATTATCTTCTGCCATCCTTTGTTGGTTTCCACATCCCAACCAAGTTTGTTTAAAGCCCTCGAGCAAATCGGCTTCAAAGGAACTCAGTTCCAGCTCTATTCAAATTCAACTTGTCTGGTTTGCATAGGTGTCATCTTCTCTAGAGCCAGCCCCAATGTCCCAGAAACCTAAACCCCAACATCCTGCACCACCTTTCCAGCCACACATTTTGTTTTATTTACTCACAGAATAGCCAGATCAGGTAACAATGGTAGTTTCCTTCCATAAAGAACATTGGTGAACCAGATGGGTTTTTCTGAAAATAAACAATGGATTTATGGTCACCATTAGAGTCTTAATTCCAGATTTTTATTGAATAAAATTCCACCATCTGTTGTGGCGGGATTTAAACCCGGGTCCCTGGAACATTACCTGGGTCTCTGGATTAACAGTCTAGCAATAAATACACTAGGCAATCACCTCTCCTTCATGTGCCTTATACTATTACTGTCCTCACTTGAATACTGCATTGGGAGGTAATCCAGGGATTACATAATTTGTGATCCAGCTTGCTAATGTTCTACCTAGCTCCCTACGATGACAGCTGCCTCACTTCATGTTTGTGCTGAAAGGTCAGTCAAGACAGGAGTACTGCCTTTAAGCTCGGTTTGTGGGCACTAAAAGGCAAAAAGACAAGGCAGTGAGTATTCAAGCAGGCAGCAAGTGAGCAAGCACTAAGTGAGCAATCAGGGAGGCCTGAGATGGAGCCTGGTACAATCAATGAGCGGGGTACCTGCCCCTGCATGCATCACATCCTGGCAGCTACATTGCAATGAGAGGTGCCAGTGGACTCCAAAATGGAGCAATGAAGTGCAGACTGTAAGTGGATCAGAAATATGCCATCATGATGCAGTGAGGTTGGCAGGTATCAGATACCAATGTCAAGGCAGGGTGCTGCAAGCTGCCACTACCCATGGAGTGTGCCCTGAGATGTTGGTCTTTGGGTGTCCAGGTTGGCAGTCTGAAGGAGGAGGCAGTGAGCTGGAGTCACCAGCTCGGACTTTCATGTTAGGAATTATAGCTGTCTGCTTTCCATCTGGTGGGTGGGAGAATGAGGAAGTGAACATCAATGACGCAAGGCTAACTAACAGTGAGACATTAATGAGCACTAATAGACCTCTCACCACTCACAGCCAAGGATCCCATCTATTGACGTCATCATATCATGTGTCGAGACATGTATGCGTATGCAGTCAGAGGTGTCAGCAAACAGAACCTGTTCTGTGATATCTCTAGGGGAAAATGTTTTGACCTGGCTCATTCACTGACTGACTGTCAGAGAGCAAGAACACCCCATTGTGAGAATTACCTGATTCTCTCCTGAAGTCAGTCAGCTGGACGAGGTGGGGTTGTGACCACTTTACGATGAATATTTCTTGAGCACGTGTAACTTCGCATAAAAACAAAGGCTTGCATTTACATAGCACCGTTCACAATCTCAGAATGTCTAAAAACATTCTGCAAATAATGAATTTCTATTAATTGTTGTCACTGTCATAATGTGGAAATAAGGCAGCCAATTTGCGCAAAGCAAGATCCCACAATTCAGCATCGATGGAAATGATGTCACCATCTCATTATGGGAACAGGAAAAGCCATGAATTAAAACAGGAAGTGCCAAAAATATTCAGCAGCTCAGACAGCATCTGTGGACAGAAACATCATTGGACTCAAGGCATTAACTCCGTTTCTCTTTCTGTAGATGCTGCCAGACCTGCTGAGTTTCTCCAGCACTTTCCAGGTTTATTCCAGATTTCTGGCATCTGCAGCATTTTGTTCGAAGAGTGACAAGAAGATGGGGTTGGGGGGAGGCAGGAGCCAAAGATATGGGGGAAGAGAGAGAGGGTAGCATTGGAGATGAGAAGGAAATTAAAATGAAGCACACCAATGGATAATCTCTGACCTTCATGAAGTGGGATAAATATTGAATCTGGGAAGGGTTTAATTGCCTTTACTTTCTCCCTGACATATCAGTTGTTAAGGACAAAGAGGACTGTCTGTATTCACTAAAGTTCAGCAGTTGCTTTCCAATTAAATTGGAACCAATGTCCATTATTTGACACAGTTAATATTCCGATAGTAACACAGAGTCTGCAGGGCGCAGCTTCAGCTTTAAAAAAAAAATTTGTGATTATGAGATAATCAATCTTCCCACACCCTGATTAAAATAGAGCTAGTAAGCTGATTAAGTCAATGGCTACAGAACAGAAGCAAACAAGTGTCCTTGCCATCTCCTATCAGTTCACTGAGCAGTGGTTCTAATTGATATGGATATAACGTTGGGATAGTGTCAAATATGGGAACAAAATGTGCAAGAATCTTAATGAATAGGGTCATGAGAAGTCAGTTTCTGATGGATTGCAGTATTTACACCATCTGATGTCTTTTAAATTGTATTTCTGCAGACACTTACTGCTCATTAAGTTTCTCAAATGTCGATCCCTGGTTTAATGCTTCAGAGATTAGAATTACTGAAGTTTGTCTGTTTCAAGCTGTTTTATCTGTCAGTCACACTGCCAGGTGTGTTTGTGATCCCTCCTGAATTGGCCTGTCGGCCTAGCATGCACAGCACAGTGAAGCTTATTAGAGTAAACTGGAACCAGCCACAAGCCTTCATCATGGTGCCCTATTCACTTATACAGAAGAGAAGCACAACATCAGGAGGAGTTACACGAGTGAGCACCCCTTTACTAAAACTATGCACCTTTCCTTGGTGCCTTCCAATTCTCTGTAATAGCAGCTCACAGCTCAGCATGGAGCTCATCAGATTGACCCGTGCTGGGAGAGACTGCACCCTGAACCCCAGTGTCAATCCCAAAATCTCAAATCACAACATCACCCCCATCAGACTGTACCAAGCAAAGTCCCTATATATACACTCCCAAGCAACTCAGCCCCACCCCACATTTACTCAAATTCCTCACTCCAATGGCAACCAAAGATCTAATCTATTTACAGGACAACAAGGTGCAGGGCTGCTCCAGCTGGTGCTCCTCTGCTTTGTCAGTTCCTTTTCCTTTTTCTTTCTTTTCTTCTTCTCTTTGCTGCACTTTTTCTTGCCTCGCCCAGCCCAACTTTTAACTTTTAAACTTCTTAAACTGCCCCGCAATGGAGAATGAAGGAGGCAAGTCTGAGTCCAGACAGGTGTGGGAGGCAGTCCAAGTACAGGCCGGCCTGGGAGACGAGTCCTGGAGGCAGGTCCTGGGCTGGACGCCAGCACAAGGAAGCAGCAAGGCCTCGAGTTCTGAAGACTGGCGGGTACGGACTTAATGAAAATGGACTGTCATTTGAATACATTTTTAAAGAAATTTTTTGGGCTTATATGGGACTTTGAGTAATTTGAGTACTTTTTAAAAACTTTGTATTCCCACGCTGGACTCTTTACAATTCTTTCAATTCTGTAACAAATACTTAAGTATATATACGTAGGTATCCTGTACCTAAGATGGTGCCAAAGCATTTGAGTGCAAGTGATAATAAAGCCAATTCTAATTCTAATTCTAATTCTAAAGAACAACCCAAATTCTACCCTGTATTCACACGGCTCCTCAAAATGCAATGTAAACTCCTCCATAGCAAATAATTCCCTACAATACAAGCTCAACCATACAGTCAGACTGTGCAGAAGTACCTCTATTTTTCTCGGTTGGGCAAAATTCTGCAGGTTGTCTCAAACCAAATGGGACAACATCAGATTTTCCCACATTACACTCTATCTGCCAATCCTTTGCTTACTTAAACTATCTACATCCCTTTGCAGACTCTTTGTACCCTCTTCACAACTTGCCTCCTGATCTATTTTTGAATCAGTATAGGCCCAACCTTTCCAAATTAGGCAACCCACTCACCCCAAGGAGTAAATACTCAGTAAATACTCTTTTCTATACTCAGATCTTCATTTGTGTACTTTATCTCTAGTGATCAGAATTTTTCTAAGATTCACCATCCATTTTGTCTCTTGATCTTCCCTTGTCCATAGGATGTTGTTAGTGTCTAATGCTAATAGAATCATAACAGTGTAGAAGCTTGCCGTTTGGCCCATCAAAGCATCTGAAGAGCATCCCACCCAGACCCAGGCCCCTTCCCTATCCCTATAACCCTGTATTTCCCATGCCCAATTCACCTAGCCTGCACATCTTTGGACTGTGGGAGGAAACCATAGCAGCTGGGGGAGACCCATGCAGATGTGGGAGAACATGCAAACTCCACACAGTCACGTGAGGCTGGAATCGAACCTGGATCCCTGGTGCTGTGAAGTAGCAGTGCTAACCACTGAGCCATCACAGTCCCCTCTGAAAGATTTGTTTAAAGTTTCTGAAGAAAACATTTACCTAATCCCTTATGTTCACTTTTATCCTTTGGCATACACTTCTGGATCATGTTGTTGTGGTTCTTCTTCCATTACAGTCACTTATTGGTGGGTGTGAACTCATTCCCCATTTCGTCAGTGAAAGTTTTAGCTATGTCCATCGGCACTGACCCCCAAAATCAGGCCTTTCTCCTTGCTGACCAACCAGAACAAACACTGCAGGGTATCAATGATAGCTAACAACAAAACATTGTATGATTTCAAGAAAGAGTCAGATAAAGCACTTGGGCTAAAGGGATCAAAGGATATGGGAGGTAAAAGGTAGAATAGGCTATTGAGTTGGATGATCTGCCAAAGCATGATGAATGGTCCACTCCTGATCCTATTTTCCATGTTTCTTTGTTTCTAGTTTCCTTGTGCCTGCACTTGCACACCAGGTTCCCAACATGCAGCCATTCTCCTGTCTTACCCTACAGGGAACCAATGCTACTCTCTTCCTTTTTATTTACCTGTAGAGGCATTCATAACTGTTTTTATATTTCTTCCTTGTTTCTGCCTTACTCCAATTTTTCGATTGGAGCAGTGTGGAGTGGCTAAGAGCCAGAGTGAAGCGGGCTGCAGGCATGGAGTGGTGCAGAGCGGCTAAGAGTCGGTGTGAAGGGGGCTGGAGGCATGGGGGGGAGTGGCTGAGAGCCAGAGCAGAGGGGGCTGGAGGCATGGAGCAGTGCGCAGCAGGCTGGAGGCATGGAACAGTGCGGAGCAGGCTGGAGGCATTGAGTAGAGCAGGGACAGTTGTTGGATTGAGTTCTGGCGCATGCGATCAGCAGCTTGCAAGGCTGGTCAGATCTCGTGTGGAAGTCCCTGAGCTGATGTACTGCAATGTAATGTTTATCTGTAGAATCATAGAATCACACAAATATACAGCATGGAGACAAACCCTTCAGATCGACTCATCCACGCCTACCAGATATCCTAAATAAATCTAGTCCCATTTTTGTCTGCATTTGGCCCATATCCCTCTAAACCCTTCCTATTCATATACCCATCCAGGTGCCTTTTAAATGTTGTCATTGTATGAGCTTCCACCACTTCCTCTGGAAGCTTGTTCCATACATGCACCACCCTCTGCATGAAAAGGCAGCCCCTTAGATCCCTTTTAAATTTGTCCCTTCTCACCTTAAGTTTTGGACTCCCCCACCCTGGGGAAAAGACCTTGTCTATTTACCCTATCCATGCCCCTCATGATTTTATAAACCTCTATAAGGTCACCCCTCAGCCTCTGATGCTCCAGGGAAAATAGTCCCAGTCTATTCAGCCACTCCCTATAGCTCAAACTTTACAACCTTGGCAACATCCTTGTAAATCTTTTCTGAATCCTTTCAAGTTTCACAACATCATTCCTATAGCAAGGAGACCAGAATTGCTTGCAGTATTCCAATAATTGCCTAACCAATGTCCTTTAAAGCTGCAACATGACCTCCCAACTCCTATAGTCAATGCACTGACAAAAAAATGCAAGCATACAAATCACTTTCTTCAGTATCTGCAACTCCACTTTCAAGGAACTGTGAACCTGCACTCCAAGGTCTCTTTGTTCAGCACAACTCCCCAAGACCTTACCATTAAGTGTGTAAGTCCTGCCCTGATTTGTCTTTCCAAAATGCAGCACCTCACATTTATCTAAATTAAACTCTATCTACCACTCCTCAGCCCATTGGTCCATCTGATCAAGGTGACATGGTACTCTGAGGTAACCTTCTTCAGTATCCACTACACCTCCAATTTTGGTGTCATCTGCAAATTTACTACCCATACCTCCTATGTTCACATCCAAATCATTTATATAAATGACAAAAAGTGCAGACCCAGCACCGAACCTTGTGGCACACCACTGGTCGCAGGCCTCCAGTCTGAAAAGCAACCCTCCACCACCACCCACTGTGTAATCTGTTTATCTGACTGTAATGTTTATCCTTTTTAACTGTGTCTTATTTCTGACTTTTAGGTTATGCAACTTTTCTTCTTCTTTATTCCTCTTCCGTATCTAAGATTTGTACCTAACATGGCACCATGAGATGTGACTTTGTGAACTTTTCACTGTACTCCTGCACTCTGTAACACATGACAATAAAAGAAAAACTAATCCTTTTAGTTATTCTTTTCTAGTTTCCAAATTTTCCATTTCTTCTGGAATAATCTTTGCAGCGTTCTCCATCTTCATGTTGACACTAACTTCCATAGTTAGCCATCGTTCCTATAGCATCATTTTTATTCTCAACTGAACATTGTTGAGTGCTGTGAAACGTCTCCTTAAATGTCTACCTCTACTTCCCTACTGCCTTACCTTCTAATTTATTTTCCTAGTCTGCTTTGGCCAACTCTGTCTTCATTGATCTTTTCCATCATGTTTATATAAGATGAAAACGCTAGTTTGAGGCCCAAATTTCTTATCCTTAGACTGATTACAAAAGTCTACCATGTTATGATGACTTTTACCTACAGGACACTTTGCACTGTGGTCATTAATCATTAAGTCTTCTTAAACATTATCTGACCTAAACTAGCTTGATTCCCCCACGGTTGGCTCCAGAGCGCACATATGTGAACTTACAATACCTGATTATTGCAATTGATAAGCTACCAAAATGAATAGCTTTATGGGAATATGATCTAGCAAGACTAATAGCAATTTGACTTAAATATAATGAGGGCTGTGAACTTGGTATTCAAAGGCACAACAGATTCAAAATACATTGGGAAGGAACAAAGGCAGGTAGGTTATACTTTAATTGGAGTAAACATTTTACTGTAGGAAAGACAGGATGTCTTTATGAACCCAAAGATGGAATCCACATGGTTAAAGATGGGAAGGAAACAGAACGATCTTACAACTGGGGATATGGTAGAGCCCTCTCAGTTGCGATAGAGGAGCAAGTTTACAGCAAAATGACAAAGGTGTGCAAGCTTTATAAAGTAATGATGCTGGGAGACTTTAATTCCCCAAGTATCAATTGGGACTGTGCTCAAATAATTGGTAAAGAGCGTAGGAATTCCTTAAATGTATTGAGCAGAAATTCCTTAAACAGCATTATCTTGCTACAACTAAGAAAGAGGCTCAATTGGGCTGACAAGTTTGGTGAACCAATTGGACTAGTAATTTTGGGGAAACAATGAGTAAGTGCAATGAAAGTATAACAAAGTTTAGATTAATAATGGAACAGATCAAGGAACAATGTAAATTAGAGGCTGGAAATGTGAAAAAAGGGATGATTTCAATGGAATTAAAAGAGATCCTGCTGTAGGTTAAAAAGACTGACAGGAAAGTAATAGTGGAACAATGTGCTATCTTTAAGGAGGAGAAATTTCAGGGGGGATTATCATTGTAAAGAAATATGAAGTGGACCAGCCATCTGATATACTTTATAATATAATGAGGGCAGCACGGTGGCTCAGTGGTTAGCACTGCTGCCTCACAGCACCAGGGACCCAGGTTCGATTCCAGTTTTGGATGACTGTCTGTGTGGAGTTTGCAGTTCTCCCCGTGTCTGCGTGGGTTTCCTTCGGGTGCTCCGGTTTCCTCCCACAGTCCAAAGATGTGCAGGCTAGGTGAATTGGCAGTGGGAAATTGTCTGTAATGTTCAGGGATGTGTAGATTAGATGGGTTATAGGGGGATGGGTCTGGGTGGGATGCTCTCAGGGTTGGTGTGGACTTGTTGGGCCGAAGGGCCTGTTTCCACACTGTAGGGATTCTATGATTCTATGATAATATAGCCATAGCTACAACAGCGAATCAGTGACTGATAAATCTGTGCTGAGCAGCTCATTTTCTGACTCCCCAAAGGTTGTTCACAATCTACAAGACACAACCCAGGAGTGCAACAGAATACCCACCATTTGTCTGGATGAATGCAGCTCCAATAAGAAGCCTGACACCATCAACACCTTCAAC